CCGTCCTCCGGGGCAAGAAAAGCCCCATTTGTAACTGCGGATCCGACATAAGTCGGATCCGTGTAACTCGGGGACTGCCTGTATTTAACATCCCTAATGCTAACTGACTTTAAATGTGGGGTTCTCAGCTCGAGACCACTAACAAGGGGGCCTGATGTTCTCAGATGCTGCCTACCTGATCCTTGAGAATCAAAAACCCTTTGCAGTTTCAAGTTGCAAACACAATATTATTAGTTACTCTTGAAAACTTAAGCCTGGTTCCTTATAAACTGATGCAAATGTGGTAATTTTTGTTAATTTGAACTTAGAATTGAGTTGGATCAGTTTTGTGTTTAATATTTGGAACTAGGTGCTTTTCAGAGGCTCTCAAATCACATTCTGAACAATAAAGCTCTTCAAAGTTCTGTGCGCCATTTTACTGGTGAGCAAACTGAGTCTCAAAAGAGTGAAGCTTTTTGATTAAGGTGATGAGTGAGTCAGCACCAAAGAATATTTGAATAAAAATGAATCTTTCTATTATGTGAACACTTTGTACAGGAACAGTTCTGACTGCTAAGTTTTAACACCCAACTCAAGTTTGTGTTTAGTTATCCACTAACGTTTGGTCTCTTGAATTTTTCACTACTTAATGATGCTCATGGCTCCCTGTGACTCCTTGTCTAGTGATGACACTTGGCATTCTTTGTATGTCTCTAGGTGTATCCAAAAACTAGGTAAAGCTTACCATTTTACTATCAGGAAAACACTCTGAGGGAAAGTGGCGTGTCCCCGTTCACCTGCATATTCCAGTACAGTCAATGCATGGGGCATTTCTGCATTTAAATTGGAGTGCAGGAGGATTCCAGCCTTTATGAACCCTGGCAGAGTCCAAGATTTGCTGTTGACTCAGATTTCCATATTGTATCTGTGTTGAGACCAATCTTCCCTCTTTTTTAATCTATGTGCAGAATAAATTCTGTGTGCACCAAGGCATGTGCTAACATGCACCACCGATAGAAACACAAAACCTAGCTGTGGCTGTTCTTCTAAGCAGCTGGGCAGTATTTGAATGTCTCCTGAACTGACGCACAAGCACCAGTTTACAGGGAACCCTGGTTGAGACCCATTGGGCTAGTACATATCTTTCTGGCACTTCAGTATAGAGTTAAATTTAAAAAGTAGTGTCTTCCACTAAAAGATCACTTACTGATTAAACTTGTACAAGTAATTGTCTCTTTCAATGTTACAGTTAGTATTAGTGTATTTAACTTTGCTGCAGGATGCAAACATGCTAATGGCAATCTTTCTGCTTCTGAATGATCTGTTTGTGTAGGGTGCAAGTTTTGGAAAGAAGCTTTCTATGAAGAAAACATCTTTGCATTGCTGGATGTTTAGTTTCTGCAAACTTGAACAGTCAGAATTCATTTTGTTCCATATTTTAAGTTTTCCTGAATGACTTGTTTTTGTTTCTTCTCATCTTGCAGCTTGTAAACAATAGGAGATAAATTAAGGATGACTGAGTTGTTTCTTTTTTTAGACAATCCTTCTCTGCGGTCATTAAAACAGGCAAGCAGAAATGACCTGATCTTAATCTTATCCAAATGACAGGGCATCAACAGTGCATTCCTTTCTAAACAGTACTTCTCTTCCATCCATAGTCCTTGACCAAAGAATGCTATATGATCAATATTGAGCATGTTAAATTACTCCTAGGGTATGTCTACACTTGCACCCTAGTTCGAACTAGGGATGCAAATGTAGGCATTTGAAATAGTCACTGAAGCGGGGATTTAAATATCCCACGCTTCATTAGCAAGATCTCACCGGCGTGTTACTCCGATTAAAAGTGTAACGTTAGTTCGAACCAAGGGGTTTGGTTCGAACTAACGCGTCCGGATGTGCACTTTCACTTTCATGATACTATCTGTATATTTTTAGTCAGTCTCTAAAGTGCTACAGGTCTATTACTGTTATGTTTTGTTAGTTACAAACTAACATGGCTACCACTAGGGAGCTACTGTAGAGAAAGCACTTACAGGAAATCAATTTCAGTAATCTTTCTCTTCCAATTGGTATGTACTTTTAGTAAATATGGGCAAGCACACACATACCAAATGGTTTTCAATGGGTGATTTTAAACTGCATATTGTGAGTAAATGCCAAATTTTTAGCATACTTTTGTTTTAACTTCTGTGCAATTATATGAAATATTTGAAATAGTTTGCAGTTCACCTTGCACTGACTGGATCATTGTTGATGCCAAAAGATATGGGTAAATAACTCTGATCTGAAAATCTGCTGCTAGTTCAAAACTACTGGTGTTAAACAGTTGCTAAAATTTGATTCCTCTGCATGTGTTGTTGTTGTGGGAATGCTAATTTATACATGTGGCAATTGTATAATCATCCACATTTTTATAATTTCTCTAAAAAGATGACATACATTGGGATGAAACTTGACAGTCTTGATCTGAGCTCATTAATTAGTTCCTGTGTTATGCTGAAGAAAGCTTGTATTCTGATTTTATATTTTGTCCATGTTACACGTATAAAATTTGTAAATGAACGATACAGGATGCAAACTAATGGTGATAAAATAACTTTAGAAGGCTTTTCTTGTAGAAGCAAAAAACAGGACTGTGTAGCACTTTAAAGACTAACAAGATGGTTTAATAGGTGATGAGCTTTCGTGGGCCAGACCCACTTCCTCAGATCAAATAGTGGAAGAAAATTGTCACCACCATATATACCAAAGGATACAATTTAAAACAATGAACACATATGAAAAGGACAAATCAAATTTCAGAACAGAAGGCGGAGGGAGGGAAGGGGGGGGGAGGTAAATGTCTGTGAGCTAATGGTATTAGAAGTGATAATTGGGGAAGCTATCTTTGTAATGGGTAAGATCATTAGCGTCTTTATTCAAATTTGCGTGTAAAGTGTCAAATTTAAGCATGAATGACAGGATTCTCTTTGAAGTGAAGTCTTAAAAGGTCTTTGAAGCAGGATGCAGGTAATCAAGTCGTTGAGACAATGTCCTTTCTGGTTGAAATGTGAAGGCTACAGATTGCTTGTCTTGGCTAATGAGTTAAAATCCTGTGTAACTTGAGTTAAGAACACACATTATTTCAAAGTAAAACACCATTAGCCTGTGCCTCCATCAGATTCATAGATTTCAAGGCCCAAAGGGATGATGATGATCATCTAGTTTAATTTCCGGTATAATTTTCCCCAAAATGAAATAAAGCATTCAGGAAATGCATGGGATACCAGAGACTTAGAGGAAGTGGCATAATTTTTCTAGCAAAGTGCATGTCTAAGCAAAGGAAGCTAGTAAGTTTCGTCCTTTACATTTAACTTCTTACTCAGAGGCCTATAGGAATTTCACTAATTTTCCAGATAATTCTTAATGAAAGTTTAGCTCGTGTTGCTTTCATTTTATTTTATCTTCAGCAGTTGTATGTGAATCTTTCTCTGAAGGATGTAATAAGCCAGAAAACTGTGGCTCCTGATGAAGGCTTTATGTGCCTGCCCTCTCTTCTCCCCCTCAAAATTAATCAACATTTGCAAACAGCATATAAACTTTTATGTGAATAGAGGCTAGTATCCTAAATCCAACACTTTAAAAAAAAACTCCTTCCCCCACAGAAATTGTGTAGGCAGATTGTTTCTTCAGAGATTGTTCAATGATGAAAAATTCAACTGAGGGAATCTTCAGCCAGAGTCCCAGGATGTAGGGCTGCCTATTAAAAATGAAGAAGCTAGGTGAACTATACAGAAGAAACGAGTAGGAAAATCAACCGAGCCTGAAACAACACTGTCCACCTACTTTCAGAAGCAAAAGAGGGCTTTATAACTCATTGTCAGGCCATTCTACTATGCCTGTAAGGTTGCTACCATGTTGGGAATGTGACATCTAATTAATTCTGTTGTTTGCTTCTGGGAAAGTACTACAGAAATCCAGTCCCAGGTAAAGGAATTACGCTGCTACTTCCAGAAACATTGGGCAATTAAGCCAGTGTTGATTTCCCAAGATAGGCTGCTAACTTCAGTGTCTCATTATGAACACTTGGACATTGGATAAGTACTTAACCATGAAGTCTACATGACAGTCAGGCAGATTTTCTGTACTATTTTTCTGCATTGGTGAAGGAGTTTGGAATGATCAACAGAAGCATCTTTAAAATATAGATTGAAAAAAGAAAGCTTTGGAGAGTGCATATGTGTGCCTTACACCAGTATTTTCTTTACTGATGGTTTCTGTATTTGATGTATTTATTTTCAGATGCTCCTAGTGGTAGTTATAGCAGTGCATCCAGGGAATTAACCTTATCTAGTCTATATTTGAGAGTCTGTTCAAGATCTCCTTAGCGGGAGGACCACCTAAGGACCACCAAATTTGGTATTCAGCTTCCTTTTATAACTTAAGCAAGATCAGGGTTTGGTTGTGCTAGGACGAGATGTGCCTGGAATTCGATTGTTTCTAAACCGATGGAAAGTGAGGGGTCTGTTAGTGACAGCCACACTGTTGAGTGACCAGAAGGGGCCAGCCAAATCAGGAGCAGAGTGGCTTGCTGGGGGATGGAGAGCTGGCTGTTGCTGGCCACTGTCCCCAGTGTCCCCCAGCTCCGTGGCCAGCCCTGGGGATTGGCAGGCTGGCCAGCCTGGTCCCCGCTGCCCCAGGCAGCTGTTGCCTGGGCTATTCAGATCAGAGAGCACACTAGCCTGAAGGGAAGCAAGCCCCGTGAACCTGCATGCGCTCTCATGCCATGCTTCCAGCTCTTGCTTTCATGCAGCTCTTTTAAAGAGTGGTTTGTTTAATCTCTTCAAAGAGGTAGTCTGGGGCCACCTAGTGGTACAGAATGGGTCGTCATTGCTAGAGGTCAGTTTAGGCTCTGGAACCTCAGTGTATCAAACCCTTTTGAAAGATATAAAGCTAGCAATCAATTTGGGGACATGAAAGAGAGAGAAGAGTGAGTGTGTGTGTGTATAATGTGTGTTTTTTTTTTTAAATTTTTTTAGCTACAAAAAGAGAGATGCAGATTTCGCCGTGGCTCAGAGTCGCATTAAGGATATTGAAGCCTTGTTCCATAGAAGTGAAGCAGAACTCAGTACTGCTCTTAATGAGAAGCGTAGTTTGGAAGCAGAGGTGGCTGACCTGCGGGCCCAGCTTGCTAAGGTATGTCAATGAACATTTTAGAGCATTGGTACTCAATTATGTGATTTTGGAGCACATTTGCAACTACCATTAACCGAAAGTGCCACATGCTATGTACAACATCTCTTGTAGCCTCCGCCTTTGTGCCACCATTTCGAGTCTGCATCCAGTTCATGGCAATCGTCGGATTTTTGCCCAAGCACCAGGGTCAGGTATTTCTGTACCTCAGTGACTGGCTGATCAAGGGCTCCTCCAGGACCCAAGTGGAAGTTCAGGTCAGATTTATCAGAGCCAACTTTAAGAACCTAGGTCTCCTCTTGAGGATAGAGTTCATGGGCAATATGAACTAGATCCAAGCCAGGGTATACCTGCCAGAAGGGAGGTTTCAGACCGTTTCCCATCACCAAGGGAACGAACTGTCTGAAGCTTCTGAGGCAGATGTTAGCCTGTACCTACGTTGTGTAGCACGCTAGACTCAGGCTTCAACTGCTCCAGTCAGAATTAGCATCAGTATATTGGCCAGACCAGGAAAGCTTAGACAGGATAGTGACCTTATGGTGGCTTGACCCTCAGGAGGTATGTTCAGGGGTTTCCTTCACTAATCCTCAGCTCTGCCGCTAATGACAGATGTGTCAGACTTGGGATGAGGAGCACACTAGGGATGCTAAAATGATTGTATATTTGTGTAAATGCGTAACAGCTGAATTTTTCAAGCAGAGTTAGTTCTACAAATCGATGCCAGGGAGCTGAGAGCGGTGCAGGTAACATGCCAGGCCTTTAAGGCATACTTTTAATGGCAATGTTTTAAATCAGTTAATTGGGGGGAGGGGCAAGAAGCCCTTTGGCTGTGGGGCTTTTGTGTAGAACATTTGATACACCTGCAAGCGTTGTACTGTCCCAGGATACAGAACAAGCTGTGACACACCACCTCAGCAGGTTGTTTCACAGCCACGGATGCTCCCTTCACCCAGATGCCACAAATCAGTCTTCCAGCGGTGAGGTTTTCCCCAGATGGACCTGTTCACCACACGACACAGCAAGAAATCCCAGCAGTTCTGCTCACAGTCCAGGCTCCAGTATGGACACGTTCCTCCTCCATTGGGGAGCTAGTCTCCTATATGCCTTTCTGCCCTTACCATTTGTTCTCCAGGTCCGCCTCAAGATCTGGATGGAGCAAGCTGAGATGATATTGATAGTACCAGCATGGCCCAGTCAGCACTGGTACACGTCCTTTCTAAACATGCCTGTGGCAGCCCCACTTTCTCTACTGCTCTTCCCAGACCTTCTGATGCAAGATCTCAGTTGGCTGCAACATCCGAGCCTTGAGTCACTGCACCTCTCACTGGGGATGCTCTGTGACTGAATCAGATGGAGCTGTCCTGCTCAGATCAGGTTGGACAGCAGCAGGAAACCCTCTACAAGAGTCCTATCTAGTCGACGCAGCACCACTTGTCCCTGACACTAGCCTCAGCGCTGCTTAGTCTAGATTCCCTCCTCTATCTGCAGCAGCAAGGGCTTTTAGTTTAATCAGTCAGGCTTCACTTGGTCACCATATCTGCCTTCCATCTGGGCATGGAGGGCCACTCTGTTTGTGAACCCTATGATCAGTTAATTCTTGAAAGGACTCAGCAGTCTATACCTTAATGTCCGTCAGCCTGCCTCTGCTTGGGACCTCAGTCTGGTCTTTTCTAGGCTCACGGGTCCACCCTTCAAACCATTGGTGACCTGCTCCCAGCTCTGTTGCCCTTACAAGGTGGTGTTCCTGTTAGCGATAATCTTGCTCAGGAGGGTATCTAAGTTCAAGGCCCTAACATCGGAGTCTCCCTACACCATATTCTAAGGACAAGTTTCAGCTCAGGCATCATCTTGCTTTCCTCGGGAAGGTTGTGTCTCAGTGCCACATTGACCAGGATATCCTTCTCCTGGTATTTCACCCTAAGCCCCACTCCAGCAGCAGAGACTCCACTATCTGGAAGTCTGCAGGCCCCTAGCCGTTTACAGTAAGAATGAAACCATTCAGGAGATTAATCCAGTTATTTGTGGCCGTGGCGGACAGGCTGACAGGTCTGCTTATGCTGTTTCAATGGATTTCACCATTGGGAGTGTCTTGTCTTCGTGAGTGCTGTAACTTGGCAGGGGTTCCTGCACCTCCAGGGTGCAGGATTCCTCAGCAGTGTTCCTGGCTCAGGTTCACACTCAGATCTGCAGAGCAACAACACATGCTCCATCTGTACTTCTGCTATGCTCTACGCGGTTAGCCAGCAGGGCAGAGACAGTGCAACTTTAGACGAGCCATGTTCCAATCAGAAGTAGACTCTGACCCCACATATTAAACTTGGGCTTGAGAGTCACCAGATTGGCATCAACATGAACAAGAAGAAATAAACAAAAGCTTTGAATTTAATGGTTATTCGCCTTCTCGTAACTGTTCTTCGAGTTGTGCTGTTCATGTCCATTTCATCCCCATTATAGTGGCTGCCAAGAGGAAACTGAGGAGCTGGTGGGTTGGCAGGGCTCTGTACATAGAGCATTGCAAATCCGTTGATATCCATTTTAAATCTTCGGATACCCGTGGCTGACTTGTGGATACAGATGTGAATGAGGATACAAATTTTGTATCCATGCAGGGTTCTATATTGAGCATCATGAAGGCTGGTACTACTCCAGGGGGCACACGGGCAGACCTGATGGATGCCTACTGTGTATGCATGTATGTGTGTGTATGCATGTGTGTGCACATGATTAGAATGAACATGAACAGCACATCTCGAAGAGCAACAGTTATGAGAATGTTACGAGAAGGTGAGTAAACATTTTTATATGAGTAAGAGCTAGCTAGCATTATTTTGAGAAGCCAGGCATTTCAGCATAGCTTACAGTCCATCCTTTCCAATCATTAAGTACATGCAAAAGTAACACCCAGGTCTGTCCAACAGGAAATATTTAAAGAATGATCTACTCCACAGATAAGAGTTTGGGGAGCTAATTCGCAGTTATGTTCTCAGTACTGAGAAGCATAAACTGTAGTGAGTGATACCTGCTTATTAAAACAACTTTCAGTGTAGCTGCTTGTATTTTGGAGAACTAATTAATCTGAGAGCAGACAAGCAAGTTGGGAACAAGCAGTTAATTTAAGGGCACAGTGTAGAGCAGGGGTGGGCAGTAATTTTTGTTGGGGGGAGCCACTCCAAGATTTTGGTAAGTGGTCGGGGCTGCACTTTTCTGTGGAGGAGGTGTGGGGTCTAGGATGAAGGCTGGGTGCAGAAGGGTGCATGGGGTAAGGAACTGGGGTGCAGGGTGTTTGAGTGAAAGAGGGGGTTGTGATCTGGGGCAGGGGAATGGGGTGCAGGGCCTGGGAGGGTGCTGGGGTGCAGGAGAGGATTCTGGCTGGGGGGAGAGGTGTGGGAGGAGTTACAGGGTCTGGGAGGGAGCTGTGACCTGGGGCGGGGGGAGGAAGGTGCAGTACAGAGGGTTTGGGGAGGGAGTTGGGTCCAAGCAGGGGCAGGGGTGCCAGAGGCTGGCTCTGTCTGGGAGGCGCTCACCTAAGCATCTCCCTGCCTGCTGCAGCCCCAGCCCACTTGAAAATACAGGCTGATTCGTCCACACAGCTCTCAACTCTAGGTGGGGGAAGAGGCTCGCGCTGACCTCTGCTCCTAGGCCAATCTCTCAGCTCCGATTGGCTGGCTGTTTCCAGCCAATAGGAGTTGAGAGATTGGCTCAGGTCAGTTTTTATTGGCTGGTTGTTTTCTGGCCAATAGGAGCTGAGGATTGGACTGGGGACAGGGAGATCACATGAAGCTTCCCCCCCTGCCTGCAGAGCAGAGAAACACAGGGACTGTACTTTAAACCGCGGCAGCTACATGCCTGAAGTTCCGGCAGGGTGGTCTGCGAGGCGGATCCGGTGGGTTGGATTGGCCCCCAGGCTGTATTTTGCCCAGCCCTGGTGTAGCATTTCATAAATAGAGAACAAGGATGCCAGTCAAACTTACATGCAGTTTTAAAATTCGGATGCTGAATTTCTCACTAGGCAGAAGATGGTCATGCTGTGGCTAAGAAGCAGTTGGAAAAGGAGACACTGATGCGGGTGGACTTGGAGAATCGCTGCCAGAGTTTACAAGAAGATCTGGATTTCCGGAAGAACATATTTGAGGAGGTATGATCAATCTGACAATTTAATCTTAACACAGAGCTTATGTAGTCTTTGCTCAAAGAGCTCTACATTGACTAATATTGTAAGTTAGGGAAGTGTCCCATTTTAGAAACAGAGAAACAAGCACAAAGTTGTTCAATGACTTGCATAGTGTCACATGTTAAATCATTGACATAGCTGGGGTTGGTACTGAGAACTTCCCCGCTTTGCACTGCTAGTTATCTTGGCATATAAAAATGTTACAAGGTGGAGCTTTCTGTATCAGATTATGGCATATCACAATTGAAAAGTATATTTTTGTAGTTTTGGTCTGTTTCCTCTTTACAAATGGTCTTACAAGAACACACTATATCTGCACAGTCATTCTGAATTCCTTGTTCTATTTCTATGTTTGTTTCCTCTTCATGCAAATGGTTGAAATATTAATCTAGGGTATCAAAAGCCACAGTTCTCTGGAGAGGGGGAAATCATGGGTTAGGGTTGGAAGAGACCTCAGGTGGTCATCTATCTAATCTAGCACCTCTGCTCAAAGCAGGACCAACCCTAACTCAGTCATTCTAGCCTGGGCTTTGTCAAGCCTGGCCTGAAAAACCTCTTAAGGATGGAGATTCCACCATCTCTGTAGGTAACCCATCCCATTGCTTCACCAACTTCCTAGTGGAGTAGTTTTCCCTACTGGCCAATCCAGATCTCTCCCCACTGCAACTAGAGACCTTTACTACTTGTTCTGTTATCTCTCACCACTGAGAATAGCCTGGCTCCTTCCTGTCTGGAAACTCTCTTTGGGTAATTGAAGGCTGGTATCAAAACCCCCTCATTCTTCTCTCCTGCAGACTAAGTAAGCCCAGTTCCCTCAGCCTCCTCATAAGTCCTGTGCCCTACCCCCTAATTATTTTACTTGCCCTCTGCTGTACTCTCTCCAATTTGTCCTCATGCTTTCTATAGTGAGGGACCAAAGTTAGACACACAGTACTCCAGATGTGGCCTAACCAGAGCCAAATAAAGGGGAATAATCACTTCTCTAGATCTTCTGGCAGAGGTCCTCCTAATGCACCCTAATATGCCATTAGCTTTCTTGGTGACAAGGGCACCCCATTGACTCTCATCCAGCTTCTCATCCACTGTAATCCCCAGGTCCTTTTCTTCAACACTGCTGCTTAGCCAGCTAGTCCACAACCTGTGTCAGTAACTAGAATTCTTCTGTCCTAAGGGCAGGGTTCTGCACTTATCCTTGTTGAACTTCATCAGATTTCTTTTGGCCCAATCCTCCAATTTGTCTAGGTCGCTCTGAACCTTATCTCTACTGTCCAGCATCCCAATCTCTCCTTTCATTTGACTGTCATCTGTGAACTTGCTGAGGGTGCCATACATACCATCCAGATAATTAATGAAGATGTTGAACAAAACTGGCCCCAGCATCGCCCTTGGGCACTCTGCTTGATACTGACTGCCCAAGCAGATATCGAGCCATTGATCGCTTACCTGTGGAGCCTGATGATCTAACCAACTCTCTATCCACCTTATAGTCAGTTCATCCAATTCATACCACTTAATTTGCTGGCAAGAATACTGTGGGAGACTGGATTGAAAACTTTGCTAAAGTCAAGGTATTTCATGTCCACAGCTTTCCCCATATCCACAGAACCAGTTATCTCATCATTGAATGCAATTAGTTTGGTCAGGCAGGACTTTTCCTTGATGAGTCCATGTTGGCTGTTCCTGATCACCTTCTCCTCTAAGTAGTTCAAAATGGTTTCCTTGAGAATCTGTTCCATGCTTTCTGTTTAATGGGGTCTTTTTCTGATCCCTTTCTGCAGATAACTCTGCCACACCATTCTCTGCAATAATACCTGTGGAGACATACTATGGTTTCTTTCTTCTATCTGCACTGGGGGAACATGAGTTCTCTCTCCTTCTGGAGATCATATGCTGACAATTCTCCTCCCTACTCTGCACTGCCCCCTCTGATTCTGCACCACCAAAAGCTGACTTCTATCCAGAAAGTCTTTATTTTCCTTGGTGCTGTGCAAGCTACATACTTTGCCCTCTAGTCCTTTAACCTTCTCTTTTAGTATGGTGATCATCTTGTACTTTGTATAGATGGCATCTCTGTTCCCTAGGAGAAAGACAAACAGCACATCCTGTGCAGGTCACAACATATCTGAGTGCAAACAATAACATTCAAGAGGGTCATACTTAGCTCCTTGCTATATTTCAGGGAAAGATGATACATGTAGGGTTTTTTATTATTAATTCAAAGTCTTACGAATATGACCAGGGCTTGACAAGTGGCAGCGAGCCCCGCTTGCCAACCACACGGTTTGGCACACTGCGCATGCGCAGACAACGCTGCATGGCCGCACCGGGCTAAAATCTACTCGCCACAAGCGCAGCTCGCAGAACCGCGCGGCTGGTGAGTGGGGCTCGTTGCCGCTTGGCGAGCCTTGCATATGAATCTGCACAAAGTGTGGATTACTGCTGGGCTGAATAGGGTGTTTGGGCGGGGGAAGGCGCGAGGGTTTTGTGTTGCATTGTATGGGTTCTCATTCTGCTGTTACAACTGATACTGGATCCCACTCTCTTATTTGGTGAATGAAGCACAGAATAACCCCTTAATTTAGAGTCTCTGCATTTTTAAGTGAAAACAATATTATAACATGTTTATAAAGTCTTTCTTGTAGACAAGGACCAGATAACTTGGCATCTATTAAAACTTTTAGCTCACCTTAACAGATCTAAGCTGTGTAACAGTATGTTTGTGTGTTTAACAGTGTTGCTCTTTGTGAAATGCTTTCAGTTCTCTCACAGCAAAATAACACAGAAATAATCAATTGTGGTGTAAAATAAATTGATTCTTTTGTTTACCCAAACTTGGGCCTTTTGCCTGAATTTTTATTTATATAGGAAGTAAGAGAGACAAGGAAAAGGCAAGAGCGCCGTTTGGTTGAGATAGACAGCGGTCACCAACAAGAGTATGAATTCAAAATGGGCCAGGCCCTGCAGGATCTGCGTCATCAACATGATGAGCAAGTCAAATTGTACAAAATGGAGCTGGAACAGACCTTTCAGGCCAAGGTAAATATTACCTGTACCTTAGTGTTTTACTGCCTGCCTTATAGTCAAAGGGAAAACTCCTGCCTCAGGGAGCTTTCATGCAACTTTGGAAGCATTGAGGGTGACCCCACAATTAAGGTAATAACAGGATTTTCTTTGTAACAGGACCATTGCAATTTTCTAGTTCCAATAAGGCTTATTGTATGCCTCTATGCCTCCTTCTCCACCCTCCCACCACGGCTCTGTTCCTGCACGAAGTATTGTTCAAAATCGGATAAGACCACGCATGTTTTATACCCCTTATCGGCATCCATTCCCCTTTATTAGCTGTATAAGTCAGACCTCTTCACACAGCAGTGATCTCCTGCCACCGCAGCTGCCTCTCCATCCTGGCCTGGAGGGCTTCCACCTGGTGGTCTGGATGCTTCGTGGCTGACATCTTTGCCTTTCTTCTGAGACCATACAGGAATTGCTCCTGAATAGGAGAAAGCCTTTGACTAGGAGTACTTCCCTGGCTAAATGGAAAAGACTCTGTTCTCTTGGCAAGGGTCCCATCCAACATGTTTTGGACTATCTCCTGTTCCTAAACCAGGAATTAGTATCAGTTAGTTCCATCGAAGTACACCATGCAGCATTCACTGTTTTCCACGCTCCCATTGACTGCTCAGTCTTTTCCAGCCCCCTGTCTGTTGGATTTTTTTAAAGATCTCTACAGATTTTTTTGCTACAGCAGTGTTCCCTCTATTTTTTATGTCCATGTGCAGAATGACTTTTGTTATATGCACCAATACAGAGGTGAAGTATTACATACCTAAAGTAATTCTGCACCTGGACAGTGTGTGGTTGGGGATGGGGCTGAGGGATGAGGTGTAGCAGAGGGTTAGGGTGCAGGAGGGTGAGGACTCCATCTGATGGTACAGGTGCTGGGTGGGGGCTGCTGATGAAGGGTTTGGTGTATAGCCCACCCTGGAAAAAAATATAGACAATGAATAGTCCTGCAGCACCATAGAGACTAACAAAAACTGTAGACAGGCTCTGCAGCAGTATTCTTTGTTTACGTTTTTTCAGTTACAGACTAACACGGCTACCCTGCTGAAACTTGAGGCCATCCTGGGGAAAGAGGACTCTTCCCCCAACTCTCTCACTGCAGCAACTTGTGACTTATTTGAAATTCTTTTAAATTATGATTTCTAGATACACAGACTCTGTGCCTAGTTGTATTTTTTAGTCAGTTTTGCAGTCAAGTAAAAATCAATGGTATGTAATGGAAAAAAATGATGGCCTTTCTGTTCTAATAGCAAAGGCCAGTGTAGCTAATGCAATCCGAAACCTGTGAAGTCTAATCTAATGTCAGTGTCCTGTGCCAAACTGTCTTCCAGCTGGAGAATGCCAAACTGTCCTCTGACCAAAATGACAAAGCTGCCAGTGCTGCTCGGGAGGAGCTAAAGGAAGCTCGCATGAGGATAGAGTCTCTCAGCTACCAGCTTTCTGGCTTGCAAAAACAGGTGAGTGGAATACATTCCCATACATCTAAAACTCCGAACGGGTCATCAGATAAAACTCGAATTCCTTTCCATTTGTTCCTTTCTTCTCTCTCCATGAGTGCTCTAGAGAATGAGTTGACGAGCAGGTATGTTTGTAGAAAACAGTACATTTTATGCATTTTTAGTGGAAGGTGAATTTTAAACTTGGAAGTGTGACTATTTGCACTGAATATCTTATTCTAAAGTTACTTATCAGACCATGTGACCTGTGTCTAGTCAAAATAAACACAATTTGATTATCAGGTATTTATTTCCCAAGCAGAGCAATCTACCAACTAAGAATTGTTTTCAGAAGCAAATTTAAATACTACACATTTTAGAAATACTTATAATCTCCTCTCTGTTTTTAACTTGTTTATCTTATTTAGTTTCAATGGCAAGTTTCTCTAATACTTAACAATTAAAAGGACAACATGCAACACAGACAATTAAGGTCTTACACTAATTAAACTGCCAGCATAGCTGCAATCCTACCAACTATTCCTGGTACAATAACACCTGTTGCATATAGTCCATCTCAAAGCACTACCTTCTTGCTACTTTTCAGGAAATGAAAAGGGCTTTGGAGTGTTCCTGAAAGATTGTCTAGTCTGGATTCCAGTGGACAAGGGGCTAGTGAATGTCTACATTGAAAGAGCAGACCCTGCCAAAATTCCCTAAAACTCTTGCTTTCGCCATTTAAAGCTAGAGTGACTGCTATCCTGGAGGGAAATCTCCTGCCTTTTCCCTGTGGGATGGACCAGCTGGGAACCCATACGTCTGTTCTGCCTCTGGAAATGCGAGGCTGTAATTTAATTCCCGAGTCTGGCAGCTTGGTTTTATTTCCCTTCTTGCAGTGCCAGTCAGAGGAGGCCATGTATCCTCCTGTCTCCACGCATATATGCTAAGTTGATTTCTTATTTTACTGTGACCATAGGCTAGTGTTGCAGAAGATCGTATTCGGGAACTGGAGGATATGATGGCTGGTGAGCAGGACAAGTTCAGGAAGCTGTTAGATGCCAAGGAGGGAGAGATGATGGAAATGAGGGACCAGATGCAGCAGCAGCTTGCAGAGTACCAAGAGCTGCTTGATGTTAAATTAGCACTGGACATGGAGATCAGTGCTTACCGAAAACTTCTGGAGGGTGAGGAAAAGAGGTAGGTGTAGGTTTAACATGCTTCACTCTCTGTGCTGGTGGGAATTTTTCCCAGCAGTGACATTGCGGTGTTCCATTTGAACAGCGGTGCACAAACGTTACCAAATCTAGGGCCTCGCTAGCTGCTTGGAACCTGAGGGCTCTGTATCTATGTGCACCTAGACGAATGCCCATAAAAGGAAGCCATGGCAGCTGCTTTCATCTGAATACCCATCTATTCAACTGTCTGTGAAATACTGTGGATTAACATGTGCTTGCCATTCAACTCCTCTTATACTTACCTGCCAAAGTTTGCAGGAGCCTGTGTTTCTTCTACTTATGTTGTCACGCCTTAAAGCATTTCATTGTAAAGGGTGTTGGTGTACTGTGCATGTTGCGGTCTGTATTAATTGTCTCACATAAGTCCCCTGGACCAGTTTTGTGAATCTAACAGCAGCTGCCTTCATCTGGTTAAACTGTCTGTCTGATTGTGTTAAGGTTGAAGCTGTCTCCAAGCCCGTCCTCCCGTGTTACAGTTTCCCAGGCTACCTCCAGCAGCAGTAGCACCAGCTCTTCAGTTGTCCGCTCTTCTCGAGGCAAAAGAAAACGTGTTGAAGCAGAGGAGCTTTCAGGCAGTGGTACCAGTGGGATTGGCACTGGGAGTAGTAGTGGTAGCACCAGTGGTAGCACCAGTAGTTTCCAGATGTCCCAGCAAGCCTCAGCCACAGGAGGCATCAGCATAGCAGAGATAGACCTGGAGGGAAAATACGTTCAACTTAAGAACAACTCTGAGAAGGTGAGTGTCAGTAGAACCTTTAGAAAGGCAGCAGTGAAAAGGCATCCAGGTGTGACAGAGCCTTTTGTAACCCAGACATACTGTGCCCCAGAGAGATTCATGGCAGGTCTCCCTTGGGCACGGCTCCTTCAGAAGTGCCAAAGTGCTACTTGAATGCTGATAGTATTGTTTCAGCAGCAAGTATTGGGGCAGCATTATAGAAGACACAGAAGAGGGAGGTAGTTTGTGTCCCAAGAAGCTTGTCATTTAGTAGCCTACAAACATGCATGTAGCAAGTTGCCTTGTTTGAGCAGTCTTATTGACTACTGGGATTAGTGGATGAGTATAACGAAAGGAAAAAATATGGAGCACTTTAAAGACTAACAAGATAGCTTATTAGGTGATGAGCTTTCGTGGGGCAGACCCACTTCTTCAGATCATATTCTAGTTACTTACTTTTGTGTTTGCAGGATTGGGCCTTAATTAGGAGCTTACAATCTAAACTATTCTTTTGGTTTAAAAGATGCTCTCAGAAGCTACAGTGCATGTAATCCGATAGAGAACCCTGGGAAAAACTAGTGACTCTGTATCTGTAGCATTTTATCAAATAAAAAGGCAGTAGGATGCAATCTGGCTGCCTCTAGATAGCTCTTCTGAAATAAACGTTTCTGTCTTTCTATTAGGATCAGTCTCTGGGTAACTGGAGACTGAAGAGACAAATTGGAGATGGAGAAGAAATTGCTTATAAATTTACTCCAAAGTACGTCCTCAGGGCTGGGCAAACTGTTACAGTAAGTCACTGAGGAACTGGTTTTGTTGTTGTGACCCCTGCTGTGAATGTGAATGAGCGTTCAGTAGGGCTTGGTACAGAGCTTGCCCCTGCTCCCATTGAGGTCACTTGGGTTGGGAGTAAGATCTGGCTCTTAAAGAATATTGTATGGGAGTTGAATTTCTGCAGTAGAATCATAGAACACTAGAACTGTAAGGGACCTCAAGAGGTCATTGAATCCAGTCCCCTGCCCTCACAGCAGGATCCAATACCATCTAGACCATCCCTGACAGGTGTCTGTCCAACCTGCTCTTAAATATCTCTAGAGATGAAGATTCCACCACCTCCCTGGGCAATTTATCCCAGTGTTTAGCCACCCTGAAGTTGCTAAAAGTTAGGAAGTTTTCCCTAATGTCCAACCTAAACCTCCCTTGCTGCAGTTTAAGCCCACTGTTGCTTGTCTTGTCCTCAGAGGCCAAGGAGAACAATTGATCTCCCTCCTCCTTGTGACACCCTTTTAGATACCTGAAGACCACTATCATGTCCCCTCTCAGTCTTCTCCTTTCCAAACTAAACAAGCCCAATTCTTTCAGCCTTCCCTCATAGGTCATGTTCTCTAGCCCTTTAATCATTCTTGTTGCTTTTCTCTGGTCCACCTCCAATTTCTCCACATCTTTCCTGAAATGTGGCTCCCAGAACTGGACACAATAGAGTAATTCCTCATTTAACATGGTAGATAAGTTTCAGAAAATGATCGTACTAAGTAAAAACATGTTATGCAGGGTCCATTTTCCCATTGAAAATAATGGAAAATGTGGGGGTTGCATTTCAAGCGCACGTGTGCTCGCAGCTCCAGCCTGCACTTGTTAGCAGCTGGGACTGGGACATAAGGTTAAGGGAGAAAGGGGACTGGGTTATAGCAGGGACGGGGAGGTGTTTGGCTCTGGAGAAGGGAAGGGAAAGACAGGAGAGGGGGCTTGCAGCCGGCGGCTGGGTTTCTCCAGCTGCCCAGTTGCCGGCAGCTGCGCAGGACTTCCCCCTGCCTCCTTGCAAAGCGGCGGAAGTTCGCCACGCCGTTCCCTGGAAACCCTCTCTGGCCAGATGTCTTGCTCCCTCTCCTCTGCCCCCCGCTTGCAGTGGGCGGCTGGGTTTCCCCAGCTGTCCGGTCACCGGCAGCTGTGCAGGGCTGCCCCTGCCTCCAGAGGTTCGCTGCTCACCGTGCCATTCCCTGGCGAACCCCTCTGGGGATGCTTCACTCCCTCTCTTCTGCCCCCCGCTTATAGCTGGTGGCTGGATTTTCCCAGCTGGTTGGTCGCCAGCAGCTGTGCAGGGCTTCCCCTGCCTCTCTGCAAAGCGGCAAAGGTTTGCTGCTTGCCGCACCGTTCCCTGGTGACCCCGTCTTGCGTCCGGCGAGGAGGGGTCGCCGGGGAATGGCTTGGCGAGTGGCGAATCTCCGCCACTTTGTAAGGAGGCAAGGGTAGCCCCGCACAGCTGCCGGCAACCGACTGGCCGGTAGGGGAAATCGTGTTATTGCAGGGACGGGTCGTGTTGTTCGAAAAATGTTCCCTTAAAAAAAAAATTGCGCTATCGCGAAAACGTGTTAAGCGAGGAATTCCTGTATTCCAATTGAGGCCTAATTGACGCATAGCAGAGCGGAAGAATGATTTCTCGTGTCTGGCTCACAGCACTCCTGTTAATGCAGTACTAGCTCAATCGATTAAGAATTATAGGATTAGGCCTGTTTGGCATTTTTATATGCATTTTTGTGTTCACCATATGCAGTGACCATGTTCTCCATTATGACTGTATTTTGTATTAAAAGTCCCTCCATAGGAAAAGAACAGTTTTGCTTGTATTATTTCTTAAATATTTGCCATAACAAGTGGGAACTTAGAGCCTCTTAAAAGGTTAATGGGACGCACATATAGCTATATTTTGTTTCTGAGTTTTTCCTTGCTAGTAAATGTACTGAGTCCAGAATGACACATTACTATATGTGGAAAGGAATGCCAACTAAAGTAATAAACGCCATTTATTTCTCCTCTTTGTAACTCAGGTTGGTGTTAACTTGCAGTTTCTTAATGTTTTGTTGGAAATATTCCCCTACAAATAGTTTCACTCTAGTTTCATATACTTTGCTCTGATCAGGAAATGGGAAGGAAGAAATGGCATATATCTCTGCTTATAGACTTTCTCTTTCTTAGATCTGGGGTACAGATGCAGGTGTGACTCATAGTCCCCCTTCTGTCCTTGTGTGGAAGAATCAGAGCAGCTGGGGCTCTGGAGGAAACATCCGCATATACCTGGTGAACTCTGATGGAGAGGTAAGCTTTGTCTCCAGGGACATGAGCTGTGCTGCAGTACCTCCCAAACCCATTTTTGACAGTTGCTGTTTCACACTATTCCTAACTCTCCTCTTTTAAACTGAGTAGTGTTTTCGGTTGTCTGAAACATAAGCAATAAGTATCTGAGCTCAGCTGTGGCTGTAGGGAACATGCCATTCAGCATGCTGATCACTTTAATTGGTCTTTTTAGTAACTGTCCTGGAGAGTAGAGGATTTGAGGTACACATTTCCACTAGAGAAATAAAGCAAATGTGCCCTGATCATTCAAAAAAAATGCGTAGGCTGCTATATAAATAATAATAATACAAAAAAACAGATCTCTTCAGTGATGCAACAGTATTGGGAGTTTCTACTGGGCAAAGGTGTCTGAGTATTCTTTATTGTCCTGCATGCTCCCACAGCTGTTCCTGAAAATTATCCATGTGGATGAATGTTGCAAGGCAGGATTGTACTTTTTGGTTAGTAAACGTGTTGCTGCAGCTGTCCAATAACAAAGTAAAACCATTCTCCCAATGGTGTATCAGTTTTCATGTGACCTTTCTTGCTGACAGTTCTGTGAAGATACTGCAGAAACAGCAGCACAGGATGTAGATTGGAGAAAAGGTCACTGATACGCATGGGAAAGGAACTGGCTCAGTCTTCAAATGAAACACATTTAATTGGTAGCTGAAGGAGCATCAAAAATAAAATAACCTCTGCCCAGAACCTGAAACTTCTCAGTCTCTCCACTTGGAAGCATCTTGTGTCTAGCAAGATTTTGTCAGACATTCCCAATGTATAATTGCTGCGAAGACCAACAACTTCTTACTACTAGTCTTTGCTACATAAATTAGGAAGGAAACTTCCTGAGTTTTAAAATCCTTAATGAAGACCGTTCCAAATAACTGGTACATTTAACTGACGTAGAATACAAGTGGAAATTAGAGGTTTTTCAGTGTTCCTCTTGGTTCTGTAATAGTTCAGAGAAATAGATCAGATCTTAGAACATTCTACAGTCTTTTATGACAGTTTCCAGTTAGGCCAATTAGTAAATTCCTTAAAATGAGTAAAGTCCATATTAGAGGTAGAAAGGCATCTTACCTGCTCCCTCTCAAACTTCTGGGAATGAGAGGAAATAGCTACAGATAAAGATGATTGAAAACACAAATTGCTAGTTAGAGATGGGTAGAAATGAGGAAGAGCCTGTAGCTTGCAAAACCTCATTGACTAGGATTTGGTTTCATATAAATCCCAAACCAGAGATGGTGGTTCAAATATGTAGCCAACTGCTTTGAATTGCCCAAAGCTTGGGTGAGAGTTGAAAAGTTGATGGCAAAATAAACACTTGTCTGTCCCCTTATCTAGGAAGTTGCAGTAAGAAGCATCACAAAATCGGTTGTGGTGCGGGAGAATGAGGAGGAGGATGAAGCAGAGTTTGGAGAAGAGGATCTCTTTCACCAGCAGGTAGGTAGTATGCTGTGAACTATTTAACATCAGAACATAAGAACGACCACACTGGGTCAGACCAGAGGTCCATTTAGCCCAGTATCCTGTCTGCTGACAGTGGCCAATGCCAGATGCCCCAGAGGGAGGGATCACAACAGGTAATCCTCACGTGATCTCTCCCCTTTCACCCACCTCCAGACAAACAGAGGCCAGGGACACCATTCCTACCCATCCCAGCTAATAGCCATTGATGGACCTAACCCCCATGAATCTATCTAGCTCTTCTCTGAACCCCGTTTAAAGTCCTAGTCTTCACCACATCCTCTGGCCAGGAGTTCTGCAGGTTACCTGTGCGCTGAATGAAGAAAAACTTCCTCGTTTGTTTTAAACCTGCAGTCTATTAATTTCATTTGATGATCTCCTAATTCTTATATTGTGGGAATAAGTAAATTACTTTTCCTTATTCACTTTTTCCACACCAGTCATGATTTTATAGACCTCTATCATATCTCCCCTTAGTCTCCTCTTTTCTAAGCTGAAAAGTCTCAGTCTTTTTAATATCTCTTCATATGGGACCCGTTCAAACCCTAATCATTTTGTTGCCCTTTTCTAAATCTTTTCCAATGCCAATGTAGCTTTTTTGAGGTGAGGCGACCACATCTGTACGCAGTATTCAAGATGTGGGCGTCCCATGGTTTTATAAAGGCAATAAGATATTCTCTATCCTTTTTAAAATGATTCCTAACATTCTATTTGCTTTTTGACTGCTGCTGCACACTGAGTGGATGTTTTCAGAGAACTATCCACAATGCTTCCAAGATGTGTCTCTTGAGTAGTTGTAGCTAAATTAATCCCCATCATATTGTATGTCCAGTTGGGATCATTTTTTCCAATGTGCGTTATTTTACATTTATCAACATTAAATTCCATTTGCCATTTTGTTGCCCAATCACCTAGTTAGGTGGTGAGATCTTTCTGAAGCTTTTCACAGTCGTCTTTGGTCTTAACTATCTTGAGCAGTTTAGTATCATCTGCAAATTTTATTTGATTAAATTTGATTAATCTCAAGCTGTCCTCCCACTTCTCCTTTGTGCCTGGTGAATTGGGTTAGATTCAAGCATGGAATAATGTGTCTTCCAACAAGGAAGCGTATCTTTTGCCTGCTGTGAGCCTTCTGATCCCAGCTTCCGGACTAGGCTCCTATAAAAGATGTGCCAGAGAGATGGTGATGCAAACTCTCAGAATCCCTGCAGTGAGCTGGGTGCTCCTGAGTTCATTGCTCTGTTGATTATGATCACTGCTCTTCAGCAGCTGTAGGAACCAAGAGCTGGGGAAGCGTGGTCAGTGATTCCCACCAGCCAGTGTTGCTCCCCCTACTAGTAGGGCCAGCATCCTTGCTCTAAAGGGACAGAAGGTATTCTGAGAACAATGGCAGTTAACGACAGGAAAATGGGCAATCCTATTTCCACTGTGGCAGCTGGAGTTTTGCAGTGTGTTTTTCCTGCAGGGTACAAATGTTATGAAATAAAATAAATCTTGCTGTCCCTGTTAATATCTTTTTTATGTAAATTCCAGTGCTTTAGAATGAGCATAGGAGCGTGAATGGCCAGCAGTTAATGGGCTAACAGATCTAAAACCCCATTGTGCATTGTATACTAGAGGGTACTTTCAAACTACTGTAAACTGTTCCAATATATCAAGATTTGATCAATGGCTATTAGTAGCCTCTTTCACAGCAAACTCAGGAGGCTGGGTCAGTGCAAATTTAAGATCAGCTTCTGGATGATACTTGGTTTCAAGGAGATTGAATTCAGGAAGTGGAAGAATCTGAAAACAAGTTCACAGTGCTGTGTGTGTTATCCACAGAAGCATGGTGCCAGGATACAGCTCTGTGCCAGATAGCTGGGTCGAGCGCGCGCGCGCGTGTGTGTGTGTGTGTGTGTGCGCGCGCGCACACATTACTACAGACTGCATTGAAGGAAGGGTGATACAGGAAAGGTGCCTCAGTATCACACTTCCCTCCTCTCTGCCAGCATGGGTCAGTAGCAGGGAGCTCTACAAGCACTGTTTCATGCCGTACTCTAAACCTGTTTAGTGATAGTCCCCATTGGGGAGCTTTCTGCATCATGAGAGAGTTGCTTGTTAAAGCAGTGTGAGATCAAACCTAAGCCTCTGCTACAGCATAATCAGCTAACACGTCTGTAACGGCATCACACTGTCTGCGTTAGTGCCCAAATGGTGTTTCAGATCATGCGAGCCAACTTGAGTTGCCTTTTGTACGAGTCAAGACTGGGCATGAGATGTTTGTGGCCTGCATTCATTGTGCTGTGCATTAACTAATTTATTTGTTTCTCCAGGGGGACCCCAGGACAACTTCTAGAGGATGTTCAATTATGTGAAAAAAACATTTGCTATCTTTCCCTTTCTTTCCTTTTATTTTTGCTATTTTTTCCTCCAGAGCCACTGAAAACTATTTTTGTATGCATCATCTGATTTCTTTAAACTTTTATTCCTTGGTACATTTTTATAGAAAATATTTTAAACAAAACTGCCAGGATTTTTAAATAGATTTCTTTATCCTCCCCCTGTCCCTTTGAAAACACTATTGCAATATTAGATTATTTCTCCACCATTAAAACTTTAGTCTTCTATACAAAGCTGCAGCAGAATGAACTTTAAGCTAAAATGGGACAGGATTCCTTGAGTGTAGAGTAAATATGTCATTCTTTAAGATCAAACTGGTTTTTAAATAATAGATTTAAGACTATGTGAACCTGTACTGGGCTTTCCGGGAACCCAGCAAGGATGCTTTCCACAGCACTGGAGTTATTTACGAAAACAGTAATATCCTTTTGGTCTATAGAGTCTTGTCTACACTAGGAATATACCATAGAGGTTGCTCCATTAGTGGAAGCATTGACAGGCTGTGGTGCACACAGGATTGGCAAGAGTGCCATGGCATTTAATCCTGTTCCGAGGAGGATTAGACACCATGGTTGTAAAAACATCTCAGCTCTGCATTATCGTGCCATCATTGCTGACAGCAGCGGTCCCAATAATTCTAGGGCAGGTATAGTCTTAATGTAATGAGGGATCAAAGCTGACATTTTTCAGTTTTATTTATTGGGACCATCACAAATGACACCCTGATAAATAGTGAATGCAGGGCTGAAATGGATACACAAGTAGCTATGATGATATAAATCATGATCTGTTGGATCGGAAGTATTTGGCATTAAGCAGAACTTGTGATTTCAATCATTCAGATTTTAGATGTTAAAATATTTTTGGCTGTGATAAATATTTGATGTGATTTAAAAAGCAATCACTGTAAATGTTGATTTTTTTTTAATCACTGCTATATTCAGCTTATTCATACTTCTGTTGTATGTAAAGGGACACTGTCAGATAGTTTAGGCAACAAGCATTTACAAAATGTCTTAGAAGTATTCTTGTGACGTCTGTGTTTACACAAAAACAAAGTTAGTGAGAAGATTTTGGGTTGGGTTGGCCCAGTTCTTGCATTGTTTGCAGCAGGATGTTATCCAGCATGACCGAAACGCTCTAACTAAACAAACAGGAATACGGTAAATGTAATACACTTACAGAATCTTCAGATGGTAACAGAAGTAAGACATTACTTTAAAAAAGTAGTATCTGGAATGTCCCCTTCAGTTTGTTTCCTGTCCTGTATTTTTTACCAGAGGAGGCATTAGGATTCATGTGGTAGTGCACCTCTGTGTACTATGAAGTATAATTGACTGCTCCAAAGAGTGTACTGACTGCAATGTAAGCAGACATTGTTTTTCCCAGTGGTTGATTATTTGGATACCATCTGATGCCAGCATAGAATTACTGTATTCCCTGCACTCTGGCATTCAAGTAGTTTAGATTCATCACTCAAGCTACAAGCTTTGGATGTTTTCGGTGGCTTTTGGACATTATGTTCTCTGAACAATATTTAGACTGACAGATATCACACAGAAGGCCAGGTTAGTGGTTTTAATTCATAGCTTTGCTGCAGTGCAAGCTGGTTGGGAAAGAAACTAATTTTAAAACATTTATGAACTTCTCATTTCAAAAATATCAGAGGTGCTAATTTTCTACAGGTGTTCACAAAATCTTCACTGAGCAAGGTAATTTAATTATTAAGATTAAATGCTAGTAAAAGTATTTAGAATTATATTTTAGTCCATGATCAACAGTTCATTGTGAAAAAGCAGTAGGAAGAAATGGATATGGGGGATAATGTTTCTCTTTGTTCTTGTATTTGGTCATTTTTCTTATGACATACCCGCTCTGCTTGAGTAGGTGATTGGCTATGTAGTAAATCATACCTGTCGCTGTGACATACATACATATAGCTGAAATTGTGTTTCTCAGCCATACTGCTACCCACTGAATTTTCTAAATTGTTGTTCAAGTGAATGCAATCAGGGTGAAACTGGTTTTGCAATATACCTTCTAGCCACTGGACTCTGTTTCTCTTTCCAACTCTTGTTTCCATTATTTACCTAATATTGAAGATAGATTTTTTTTTTAAAGATCTGTATTTATTTTTTTATGTAGGCCAGTATTCAGAGTGTTCATTCTGCTTCATGATAGACTTTTTTAAACTATATAGAATATTGTGTAGCTGACTGAAGAATCTGTTGGCTTTATTGGGTGAATTTCCTTGTAAAGTCTGGGCTAGAAAGGCAGCTTGTATCAAAGACCTCATGTGATCTGAGCCATTGTTTCTGCAATACCTGCTGAATACGAGAATGAGTCTTGCTTTAGGGCCTGATGCTTGCAGGCCCTTACTACTGGTTGAAATGCTCTTTACCCTGAATTAGCTCAGACCCAAAGGTGGCCAGTGAGAGCCAGTCAGCACTGCTCAGGCTCTGCCCACAAGGCTAAGCAGCCAGCACTTCCCACAATGCCCTGGCACCTCTTCCGGGGGGCTAGAAATGCCGACACCCCATACCCGTCTCTGCCAGCCAGACCATCCGCTTGCTTCTTTCAATACTCACCCCGCCTGGGAGACGCCTCACCGTTGTGGAGCGTGTTCCCAGTGGAGGCCACGTTCAAAGGATCCCACCCGCTTGTTGAGCTGCGTGTAAACCCAAACTGCACCGCGGGCCTCAAACAGATGGGCCGTGGGCTGCGTGCGGTCCACGGCCACGTGTTGAATAGCCTTGGTCTACAGGATTGGGCCCTAAGTTTAGAATTGTTTCCTATGAAACTTCCTAGAAGCTTGTTCAAATGAGATTTGCACCTGTAAAGTTGAAGTTTGATGTTTTATGGCCTTAGTTATCTATAACAATCCTGCCTGATCCTGACCCACAAGCCTACGCCATTAAGAAAGGCAAAAAGGTTGCAGTGGTGATTTCTGCATGTAAATTGCTGCTTTCTCCTGGCGTGCCATGAGTATGACACAGATGCTTAGACAATGGTGCTCTGGACCAGTACACCCTGACTGACTTCCTAAGAGCAGCTTTGCTCCAGTGACTGTTTCCTGTCCTTTCCAGAAGGCTACTGAAAATGTAAGAAGCAATTCCTGATTATAAAGTGCAAGACACAGTAGAACTACTGTATTCCACTTCCTGTTTGTATGAATGTGTCTTCTGTAGACACCACCTTTCCTGTGTGCATTCAGTCTGATAAAAGTAGGTTCTCTACACTGGAAACGTTTTCTGCTATACCCAATCTAAAGCAGTACTGCTGATTTTTGTATCTTTTTTCCTATGATTTTTTTCTGACAATTGCAATGGTTAATTAAAGCTTTGTGTTCAGACCAGGCATAGCTTCTCCCTATCTGGTCGTCATCTTCTGTTAGATCCTGCAAGTGAGCCATTTCATGTTGCGTGTGGGAGATCAGCATTTCCATAGCAATAGATTGATATAAAAAAAAATCTAGGTTTCCAGAAGAAGGCAGAACTGGCCCGTGAGGAAGAATTGGCCAACCTAGTTAGCATGAAATAATTATTTTGCTCTAGCTATGCTGATATAATTCATTGGTGTGGACATGATTCAGAATAGAATGGCTAATTCCAGAATAGTGTGTGTTCACATAGGAAAGGCAGCGATGGGCAATCTAGGCTAGTGAGTGGGCCATACAAGTGGCCCTCTATCTCAGGGGCTGCAAGATAGTCTTCCCAGGTTAGCTGTGCTTGTATACCTTCGATTTGCAGGGTTTGCTGATTGAAACCTAGCAGCACTTTGATAGGATGCAGAGGGAGCGCACGGATGTCAGCACGCACAAGCCGGTTGCCCCCAGCGCTGTCTCCGTGGTGCAGGAGGAAGGGGGACAGGAGGCAGAGGTGCAGAAGTCTAGGACCCAGTTGAAATGTAATAGGAGCCAGCTGCCTGAGCACCTGGCTCTTACTACATTTAAAGTGCAGAGCAGCAGCAGGGCCCCATAGCAACTAATCGTGTAGTTGATACAGATTCCATTGACTGCACGATTAATCAGTTACCTGCTTCTTAACATCCTTTATGTGGATGGAAACCAGCAGAATCTGGCAACCCTGTGTGGGAACCAGTAAAAGTGTTTTGTGGGCTGCACATAGAACCCTGTTGGCCCACGTGTGGCCTGCGGGCTGCAGGTTGCTCACTATTGCTGTAGGGAAGGAGTAAGGCTGGTCCATTTCCCTGTGCAGGCAAAGGGAACAGCACCAAAGAGCTGCGTGGAAAGCACGCTACGAAGGCCCCTCTGCCGGGTTTGATGCTGTGAATTACCTGGGAGCAGAGGAGGGGAGCAAATCCAACCCCTTCCTGCATGGCCATGGAGGAATCTGCAGTGGGAGAGTGGTGACTACGCTGATCCTCGTGTCCCTCTCCTGCCTGACGGCCTGCTTTAGGTCACGCTTCAGTTACTGTGCCGCAGTCGTCTCTGGGCATGGCAGCTTTCTGCCTAGGCAATGGAGCCATCGTCATTCCTCTCTCTCTCTGCATGTGACCCGCGCCCATCCAGGACTCTGGATGTCCTAGAAGCGCAATAGCGTTAGCAGTGAGCATAGGTCTTTGCCGCGTTGCTGTGCCAGTACCGTGAGGTTGGCCAGCACAGAGGGCATCCATAGTAGGGACCAAACAGTCTCAAGATGGACAACTGTCAGCTCCCCACAGCCCAAAATGGAAAGGCTGGGTTAGCAGGGCTCTGCTGACTGGAATGTGAACCAGAGTGTACTATGAAGGGAAGTACAGCCAGTAGACATGTTTGTTGTGGAGCAGTAGGGCACCCAGAACCCACAGCAGGTGCTCACAGGGGTTTCATAGTCTCCATACATGCTAAAAAGAATTTTTAATGCCCCAGGTAAAGATCCCTAGCCAGTTAGACACACTGTAGGAGATAGAAAGTGGTGCCTTAAGATTCCTCTGCGCCCTTACCCTGTCTAAAAGGCAAATCCCTCCTTCCATTGTCTCCCCTTCCATGTGAACAGATGACAGTGCTAGTGGCTAACTTTGAACAATATAATGCATGCCTTGTGGCCACTGACCACACGTCCTCAGGCCTCCCATCCTTTTATAATTATTCTTTCTGTATCTAGTTTTGAATGGATAGAAAGCCTCTAAACAGAAGGCATGTCCATATTGGATACTGGCTTTTAACATCACTGTTGGGGCCCTATTCCAAATCCTGGAGTTGGAAGGAAACAGCCTTATTGGGACCAGTGAGTGGAAGGATGGTTGCTGATTTTATTTCAAAGCATTCATTTAGCAGAATGCAGAAACAAATTGTTTGTTAATTTAACTAGAGCCCTGCCTGGGTACAAAATTTTGTATGCTAAAAAAGAACCCTGGATAGCCAAATTTGCAAGGTTCTAGATACAAAATTTGTATCTGCAGAAATTAGTCGCAGATAACAAGTGGATATCTGTGGATTTGCAGGACTCTGTTTTTAACTGAAACTTAAAATGGCTTGGGAAACAGAATTTATGTGCTCTTAAATATGCTTAGCTTTAAAATCATTTAAAGGTGATTTTTATATAAGCCCATATTTACATGCAATTATTATTTGCAAATGTAATGACTTTCTTGAAATGCTAATGTCTAGAGGGGAAGATGCTTGCTTTTGAGAGGATTAATTCAAAGAAGCACAATGCACTGTATTGACTTGGGGGTTAGGACCTAAGAACGGCCAGACTGGGTCAGACCAAAGGTCCATCTAGCCCAGTGTCCTGTCTGTCCACAGTGGCCAATACCAGATGCCCCAGAAGGAAGAATCACAACCGGTAATCCTCACGTGATCCTTCCCTTGTCTCCCACTTCCAGAGAATAGAAAAGAAAAATTTTAGTGAAAGAAAAATGTCTCAGTGAATTTCCAGGAATTTGTAGTCATGAGTTCGTGTAGATTGTCTGCATACAGTCTGCTGGGTCAGACAGACATTCTGATGGTTTTCAGATATTACACTAACATTGTAAGCAATAAGCTATTTTAAACAAAACTTAAACCAAGAGGCTTTACAGTTGGTCAAAGTGACACTGCCTTGTTTGAACTCTATTTTCGTAACAGCGATGCCTTTTGACTTGTAATTTTTTTACATCGCCTTTCTGGTAGCTCCAGGTCTAGGCCACTTGACTGACACTTCCTTGGGAAAGTTGCTGTAAAAGAGCTTTTTGTTAATGGCTTATTGAGTTTTTAAATAATTATTCAAAAAATATCTAATTGAAGACCTGAGAAATTGAAAATGATGGTGTGGAGCATATGAAAACTACACAAAGATCTAGACTTTATCATTTCACACTTTTTTGTTTTAAGAATGTGCATGCCAAATGTCTTTTTCGATTATTTGTAATATACATTTTATGACTGGAAACTTTTTTGTACAACACACTCCAATAAATGTTTTGCATTTTATCTGTTACCTTCCTTTGTTTAAAACGAACTGAACCCTGCTCAAAGGCTGCCTTGTGTCCTATCTGGGTGTCCTCCCCGCAGAGACACGCAGGAGGGAGAAGGCTGGGTGCGATGTGTTGTCTTTTTGGCTGTATTGCTTGTGTACATGAACCTTGTTCTACTCTGGTGTTTGGTTTCCATTTTCTTTTGCTTTTTGGTTAAACGTAGCACTTGGAAAGTGCTGGCATTCCAGCCCTGATCACTGAATTCTGCTAAAGAAAGCAAAGATCCTGTGACAGTAGCAATTCAAACTTCCCCCTCCTTTCCCTCACCTCTGGAGGGCCTGTCAGCACTGAGTTTTCTGCGTTCTCTCCACCCTGTCCTGGAGAAATTGTTGCAGTTCGCTTCCTGGGATGACCAAAAGGGGGAATTATTGACAGCTAGGAGTGCTGAATTCCTTCTCATTGGGAACTGAACAAAAGCCACCAGGTCATGTTCTAATTAGGGCTGTCAGGCTATTTAAGAAATAATTACAAGACGTCACACGGACAATAGAATACCATTTACTTTTTGACGATTTCTACATTTGGAAATGTATTGATTTCAATCATAACACAAATATAAGGTGTACAGTGCTCACTTTCATTTATACTGCAAATATTTGCACAGCAAAACCAAAAAATAGTATTTTTTGTTCACCTTATACAAGTATTGCAGGATGCTCTCTTTATCGTGAAAGTGCAACTTAGAAATGTAGAAGTTTTTACATAACTGCACCAAAAAATAAAACCATGTAGAACTAGATTCTACAGGCCCATTCAGTCCTACTTCAGCCAGTCCCTAAGATTGTTGTTCACTTTTGAGAGACTAGAAGATGTATCCAGTGTTGCATGGGTCCTTAGTTCATAAGTTTTGTTTTTCTTCATTTAAATTCTTGTTCTGAGGGGGGATAGGGAGGGGGTAATCAGTTTGCAGGCTGCCCTGGGGGAAGCAGACAACCCTAACCATATCATTGCTGCAGCCTAGGACCAGGTGAGAAGTGCCTATTCATGGGCATTGCAGTAGGCACAATGGGGAGAGGGGTGCCTGTCCCCTGCCTGGGTGACCAACACAAACTCTCTGAAACCTGACCCCTTTCTTGACCCGAGCCCGTTGGGGTTATAGCTATCCAGGTCCCCATCTCTGGCTCCTTGCTGCTCATCTGTGGTCATTCTACAGTATAACTGTCCCTCCTACCAGACCTCTCCCTTTCCATTTTATGAGAAACAATTGAATTCTAGGCAGATCCCATTGTCCTGGAACAACCAAACCCTTGCTTTGTTAAGAGGAAGCTGCCTACCACATGTGCTGGTCTTAGCTCTTACTGTTTAGGAGGAGTTCTTGAACAAATGGACTCAGATGGACAAATAGACAAAGTTTATAAAATATAGTGGGTAATGCTGCCCACTTCTCTATAATGTCACCTGAAGGTGAGAACAGGCATTCACCTTGCACTTTAGCATGGCTGGCGTACTTTGCAACGGCAGCTACAAAACATTGTTATGCCCCTTCAGGCTTCCACGCTTATGACAGTTTCTGCTCAATAACCATCCAAAGCAGTGTGGGTTGATGCACAGGCATTTTCATTGTCTGCCTCAGAGGCCACCACTATAGGGTTGATTTTCTTTTTTGATGGTTCGGGATCTGTAGTTTCCTCCTCTGTGTGTTGCTTTTTTTAAGACTTGTGACAGCATGCCCCACACTCCACACCTTGTCCCTCTCAGATTTTGGAAAGCATTTCAGATTCTGGTTGAAAATTGAATTGCAATTCTTCCCCAACAAATGAATGACACGTTAAAAATGCTTCACTTTGTGTCATCTGTAGAGATGCCTGTCCTTTGGAATAGTGGTTGAAGCATGAAGGGGATATATGAATGATTAGCATATTTGGCATGTAAATACTTTGTGATCCTAACTACAGAAGTGCCACGTGAATGTCTGTTCTCACTTTCAAGGAATAGATAACAAGCAGGAAGGATTATCTCCCATAAATGTAAACAAGCTTGTTTATCTTTAAGATTGGCTCAACAAAATGTAGGACTGAATGGACTTGCAGGCTCTCAAGTTTTACATTTCGGTTTTGAAATCTACATATGCAAGCTGCTATACAAAACTTGTCTGCAGTCACTTGGAAAATACAATTTCCTTTGATTATATATATTTGCTATGTAAAAATAATATAAAATGAGCACTCTACACTCTATTCTGTTGTAATTCTTAATATACAGGTTGAAGCTGTGAAGTCCAGAGCCACCACCTGGGAGTCAGGTGGTTGGAAGTGGGGCTGGGGGTGGGCAGTGGCCATAAGAGGAGCAGCGAGCCCAGTGCCAGCCCTGGCAGTGCAGCCCTGCTCCACTGGGCAAGTTAGGATCATGGGGGGATGGTGGTGGGGTGGGAGCATAGGCTGTTCTACCAGGGATAAGAAATACAAGACAAAACTGATGGGGATCAGATCAGTTTCTTAGCGATTTTAGGGATGTGAAAGGTTAAGTGGTAAGCCAGGAGAGGCTGGAGCAGCTCCCTGTCCCCCCCCCCCATGGGGCTGCTGCAACCCTACAGAGCTTGTGGAGCAGTCCTTGTCCCTGGTGGGCCTGGCTGCCTTTCCCTCATGCTGGTTATACAATGGCGCTTGAGTTTGCAATTAAGCTTCCCCAGGTACTGCCAGCCCTACTGGTGGGGGGTGGGGGGAGGGGTTTCTTCTCCCGGAGCAGGGCTGGTAGCCCTTGCCA